TCGCGAAAGTTTTTTTTAAGGCCTCGGAAAACGCTTTTGATTTAACTTAGAAAAAGTACGAAAAATTTAGAAAGGCAGAACATTAAAGTCGTTCAAAAATTATATGTGAGCTCTAAGTAATCAAAAGAAATAAATTAGATTAGTTTTGTGTTTTATGGACAAAATGTAAGTACAGTGACAAGATTTATTTTGACTATAAATGATGAACATGACTTTGTGTGATTAAACTTTGAACTATAATGCCTAAAAACTTGAGTGATTTTGACTAGTAAAACTTTTTGACTTTATAAATGATGAATGACTATGAAGTGAATTAACTTTGGAACTTTATTGCATAAATATCATTAAATCGAGTGTTTTGACTATGGAACATTATTGCATAACCTTAATTGCCTTCGAGTATAATGACATTTTAATTAATTTGGCGAAGAATTTAAAGGGGAATTTATAATGCACTTAACCAGTATCGATTTTGAGTAGGAATTATTAAAGAATTTTGAATTGTATTGTCCAAATTGAAGTTTAAGGGCTATAGTTACGAATCTAATAAGAATTAAATAATTGTGTTTGTTGGCTAGGAATCCGAAAATAGTAATTGTTCTGATTTAAATAAACCATTATATGTAAATGGGAAGTTTCGAAATGAAACTTGTTGTTCATGAAGAAACATTGATAATCTTAATTGCTGAAATTTTGAATTAGGGTTTTTATTTTTCAGCTAAAAATTATTGTAAGGTTTTTTATGAATAAGTTAGTAATACCTATAGTAATAAACAAATAATTATTTTGATTTTGCATAAGCAGTCAGTAAAGGACTTGGGAATTTTTAAGAATTTATAGGTGTAGGTGAAGGGTAGTTTATTAGGAATGAATCGGAAGTGTTGAAATGTATAAACGTATAAGTTTTTGACAATAGTAGGAGTAGGGCGTTTTTCTTTTATGGATATTTCCTGGTCCATAATAATGACATTTGAACGGATGTGAAATAATTTGAATTGGGAAAATTAGAAGTGGCTGTCAAAATTGAAAGATATTTTGCTTATTTAAATTTTGGTATTTCTCCCTTTTGCGAATAGACCCTCCACAATTTTATAGGTAGCAGCTCCAAGAAAATAAGCACCATCAATATACCGCTCGCCATTTACCATCTAATCAATTACATAGAGGGGCGTTTTGCTACAACATGTAAGGTACCTGTCCTAAATAAGGCCATATTAAGAAGTTTTATTTTTTCCTAACATTATCCACCAAACCCAACAAAAATCACGAGCTTATATGTGAAGTGTTTTGCTTCTATTACTTGAATATTTACTCCAATTTATTTATTTTTTTATATAAGTGGTGGTTTTTGCGTAAAACAAAGAGGCTTACCATTGGCCTTATTCGGATCACTATGCTCCTAATAAGGCCAACATTAAAAAATGTTTAAAGTAAATACAATTATTCATAAAAATATTATTATTTGAGAAATAGTACACAAAATAGAACTTATACGTTTGCTGCATTCCTAAAAAAACAATAATTCCAATTCCTGGGATGGTGATCCAAATAGGTCTATATACAACTAGGACAAATGAATCGCAGCATCTTTAGCTTGGAGAGTCTCCACGCATTTCAAAAAACATCAACTAGGTAATAATATGACACATTCTTTTAGAAAAACACTGTGATGTGAGGCCAATTGAACATTTTTCGTCTGATGGCCTTATCAGGAACATGTTAAATTGATAAACAAAAGTCTGTAACTAGAAATCTAGCAAAGATATTATTCTGTACTTACTCTGTAGCTTTCTCAATACATAAATGTCCGTTAAAAAATTACAATCGTTCCATTCACTTTATAAACACGTATATAGGCTAATTGAGTTCCAGCCTCAAAGTTATAACGTGACATATGAAATATGTGGTTGGCCATTTTTCGACATATGACGAGTTGCTAGAAACCCTTGCAATAATTTTTGATTTGCATTATAGATTTCTTTTCTAATAATATTGTAATTTTTGGAAATGGGATTCAATATTAATCAATAAAGGGCACTGGCCTTATTAGGTACCTGGCCTTATTTGGGTCAGGTACCTTATTTATTTTTATTTGTTTAAAAGTATACTGTTCAATTAATTGGCTGTGATATACATAAATCCTGATAATTATTGTAAAGTGTGATACATCAATCCTTGTAATTGAGCTGTAATCGTGAAAACTGTGATATTGTAAAAATCACGATCCAACCCCTCAGGAAGGAGAGGGATGAGATTGCTTCATTAGGTTTCTGCTGCAATTATTGAATAATGTCAAGGTCGACCGACACACATGGTTAGGGTGCACTGTTTCACTGCATTGGAAATATGCACAGCGCATTCTAAAGTAAGCTTGAATAATGGAACACAAGTTCAGTGATTGCTAGTCAGCAATAAAAGTTACTTAACGTCATGTGCATGAGACCAATTACATAATTCTCCTTGTAGTCAATAAGAACATTGAAACTGCTACGGCAAGTGCATTTTAAGTGTGAGGGTGTCGTGTACGGGGCTTAAGAATAAGCATCGGCGTGCGCAGGTACAGGATTGAAGCAGGAAGCAGAGAGACTGAACGACAGATTGACAGTCTGCATCAAGGAACCATCAGAATCATCGTTTTATTGGCACATAAACGTAACATAAACATAAATATTGTAAATATAAAAATTAATCACTGATTTTTAAAAATTTACGACATATAATATGCCAAACGTAACGCAAGAAATGTATAAATTGTAATTTCCAAATTACTTGCGTTTTGCTGCGTTACGGTTGCGTTGCGGATACGTTACGGAATGTATAAGTCCCGCTTGTTTTTTTTAATGGCCAAAACAAACCTTTGTGTTTTCGTCATGATTTGAAAACCGCTAAACCAAATGTTTTCAGAATCGGGAATCAAATTAAGAATAAAGAGACCTTTAAAATGATATACATACACTCGACACCAATGACCTATTATCACAGATAGACGGATTTATAAACAAAAATATATGTTGACAACATGTTCGATTCTTTCTATCCTGACCAAATTACCCCAATACTAAAATGCCACATTTAGTCGTAGGAATATTTATTTTCCCTTTCTAACGCAGGTATAAAGTCCTGCCTTCCACTTACACTAGGCAACACAGCACTAGACTAGACTCGGCCTCCTTTTTGTCATAGTAATACGTTCCTTTTTGGCCCAGAGTATCTTGTTGTCTCTATCCTATGCGATGATAATTAGTATATGTTAAAAAAAGACCGATACATAAGATATGTTCGTGTTAGTCTGGAATACTATTCGAATATCATCGTTTTGGTTTTGGGACGGGACCAATTGAGCCTGGTCCATTGCAGGGAACAGCTGTTGAGGCTGGACTTAGATCGGGCGACTTATCCCCACCATGGACCGCCCGCACCCCAAATCCCCCCTGGCCTATAAACATGTTGTCAACACAACAAATAGTATTTTATGAATGGAATACTCTGTCTATCTGTGATAATAGGTCATTGCTCGACACCGCCTTCCATTTAAAAAAACGTTTCAAAACTGCGCTCATCAGCAAATAGATTGATAACATGCTGCGTGGCAGACAAGTTTAGGCAGGCTACTCTTAATAATGATACAATGAAGATGTTAGTATCAAAAGGCTGCCCACAGGTTGGGGTCCTATCCCCCTTACCTTGGGACCTGGTCATAGACGAACTCCTAGAAAAACTTAATAACAGAAACATTTATAACCAGGGTCACTCAGATGATATAGTAACCGTAGTCATAGGGAAAAATTCACAAACTACTTCTGCGTGGAGGACTGGATCAAAGGGCAAACCTGAGTGTCATCCCTGAGAAAACAGCAATGGTCTCCTTCATGAAAATAAGAAAAGTAGACGATCTAATTCCTCCCGCTTTCTTCGGAATTCGGAAAGCAATATCAACCCACCTTCCGTTGTCAAACTTGAAGTTGTTCAATTGTCCTATAATATATTTTAAGGCAATCTTATATTTAACAGCCTTTCAATTTACTTTATCAGCACAGATGGTGCTAAAACAACTACTGATTGCTTTATACACCAAAAGTTTTCTCCTATCATTAGTAATATTACAATAAGTATAATTATTATTGAGAGCAAAGCTCATAGCTTTACCCTTTAGGACCCTCACAACATCAAGCAGGAATCCTCTTAGCAGTATCGAATCTTCGAAATGATAATCCATCAAATCCAGAGAACAAATCCAATCATAACACAAGCCATTACGAAAATTGCCGGGGACATGGGTGAGGTGACCGTGGGTAGTTAGCAGCTGCCTTATTGCGTTCTTTCAATAACATGAAAGTAGAAAACCGATGCCTGTTTTATCAAAAAACAATGTCGGTAGAAAAATTGGTCTCTAAATGTCGGCCGGAGCACTAAATTACACCGGTTTTACTGCCTCAAGAGGGTTTCGAACCGGATCGCTGAAACAGCACGCGTGTACTAATAAAGTCCGGGCCCCCTCTCCTTATTTCTGTGCTAATAAAAGAAAAAGCGAACTTGTTGTATTGTTTTATCTTAGAATATACCATCCACTTTTGATTTATGTGCATAAGTGTTTTTAATGAAATAGGTCAATACATAGTACATTGATGAAAATCAGTTATAATATAAACTAAATTAGTGATGCAAATTATAATAGCTGAAACTCGTAAAACGAAATAATCAACCTAGACAACATAACATTGTTGACGTTGCCATCTAGAGCAAATATTGTGCACTCTGTCTGAGATTGCTTCTATGAAAATTATGTTGATATGCCGTAGCTAATCCAAACATCTGGCTCGATGCTAACCCGCGGCGCAAACTCTTGTCAGTGCCAGTTAATGCATCTCGATGAAACATGTTGTAGGGTGAAAATTAATCCTTCCCTTTTCCCCCATGTCACCCCTTTTCGGGAAATATAACCACTACACTGTCATACGTCCCCGGAGAGTTGTTTTTCTCGGCTAAAGAACTTCCGTTTTATGAAAATAGCATTAGAGTTGATATCCCTTGGTGGAAAACTTTTTCGGCATATTGAGAAAGATGATAGAAATGATAAAGAAATAGGTAATCTTTGCAATATTGATATTGTGCTTACCAATGCTTGGTAATATGAAGATTTAATGGGGAATCTGGAATTTGCAGATATTCAGCAGATTTAAACATTTATCGATGCCTAAGAATCGTAATTCAATATCAAAATTGTTCGCAGTTAAAATTGAATTTTTATAACCCGACTACCTAGTATGATTTATACCTAAGTATAAAGAATTTGTTTGCTCGTAAACATAACTAGATTTATTCGGCTCAACAATTGCATACGTTCAAATAACTACGAATGTTTTAGGACATAGTTGATAACCTCAGGCGGTCCATGCGAAAAGGAAATGCTGAATTTCTATAGGAATTGGATACAAATATTTTGTAAGAGAAAATAAAAACTATAAATCCATAACTTTTCATAGTCCATTCTTTGTGATTAGATTTGATTTTCATGGTAACAAAGGACAGCGACATTCAAAACTTATAAGTATATTTGATAAGCAGCATATCGATTCCTCCATTGGATCATGCTTGGTTTCATTCTAAAATTTGGTTTCCAAACTTCAGAAACTTTCTAATTCCATTATTTATATGTTTTTTTCTGAAACATTAAATCCTAGAAAAAGTGTCTAAAATGTTTGCTCCACGTGCATTTTCTCACTTGATCCAAAAACTAGATGTCAGGTTTATCCCGGTTAAATTTTCTTTCAATAAACACATCTTAGTTACCAATTAGTAGCTCCTAGAACTTAGTCATTAGCCAAAATTCAATATCTTGAATATCGTTCTATAAATAGCAAATATCTGGATCCGTTCCATGCCACTAATTGGTCAGATATCGGTTCTGGCAAGAGTTTCCAAGCGAAACCCCAAAGTTTCTCGTCTATAGTCGACCGCAGTGCGTTATCAGTATTGGCTCTCCACATAGCTGCTCATCTAACCTAGGGGAGCTTAATTTCGAGAACCTGAAATTCTAAAATAAAAATAATCATCTACATCGCATCAATATAAAAGTTTATCTTGGATCGAAATATTCTTTTTCCTAGAACTGAAAAAAATAAATAACAGGCAAAAAGGAAATGTAATCCAATAAAAAAAACTCGTCAAGAAGACTTCTGTCGATGTCTCCAACTAAACAACTTCATATTTAACAAATCACGGTCCCGAACGGATATGAAAGTGGAGTGGCAAGAAAAAAGCCACACTGCCTTGGGCTAGTGAAAATATTGAGTTTGTCGAGACGCGAAAATAGCCCTAGGAGAAGCTCACACAACCACATTCTGAAAGTTAAATGAAAGTTTTCGGTAAAGGTGTGTGTGATATTAAGATTAAACTTGAAGTAAATGAAAAATGAGCCTGAGATTAAATATAATTTCACGCAAATATAATGTAAGTTGAATTTTATTGAAATACCTTCTGTCATTTTGTTGCATATCACTGGAATATTTCCAAAATCTAATTGTTCTTGATTTTACCAAACTGGGTTGATATGTTTAAATTTCCAAAGATCGTCGCATCACTGACTTTTATGTTATTATTGAGGAAGGAAATAATTTGTATTCCATACATAATTCAAATTGAAAACTTAGCGTAGTAGAGCGCTTCCGGCTTTCGCCATCATTAGTTGTTACGATAAATTTATCATTTACGTAGCATGTTCCATCTCTTCTTATTTTGATTATAAAGTTGTATTTTTTTTCATTTCAGAATTAGCAGAATAATAATTCCTAATAAAAATATCCACAAAGTTCAAAATAATACAAGTGCTGCCATCTATCCATCATGTGCGTAAAATGCAAATATCTAGAATTCATTTACCAGTGCTGCCATCTAGTACCGCGTGAGTTAATTTTTTTTTAAATTTTGATAGTTTTCCTTGGCTATTTTTCTTTGTCATTCATTTGTATTTTCATTCAAAGAAATTATATTTATCTCACTTCTAGCAAATGGATATATTTCTGTCTTTCTCTAACTTCTGATTCTGAAATAATCATTTTTTGGCTTATTGATCTAATTAATTAGCAGTTTTTTATTTTTGACATAACCTTAATTTAATTTATTATAATTTGTAAACAATTAAAATAATTCTAGTAGATTTTTATCTATTCTTTTTTATTCCATGTGGGTTTGCATTGTGATTTCATTGTAAAGTGAATATGATCTTTTGGGTGTACTCGTCTGATTGGTTGAACCGGTTAAAATTCAGTTAAGTATAAAAAACACAGGATCGTTTTCCTGTGGGGTTTGGTTTCTAAAACGTTCTCTTTTCTCGACAGAAGTCTGGCAGGCAGGACCTTTATATTTTTATTAATTTTTGCTTGATATTTTTGGATTCTCCCTCATAGATTTTTCAATATATTTTGCTAATCAATGCATATTATCATATCATTGTTAAGTTTTTACCTGATAAATCTTATCTTATCTGTTCTTGAAATATAAATATTATATTGTTTACTGTTTCGTGGGTAAACAATATATAATGGAGGGATACGAATATCAAACAACCATAAATATTATAAATTTTTTTTAAATCTAATTGTTGGCTTCCATTTTGTGTGAGTGTCGATTGGTTGTGCCACGTTTATCTGAGGTAAGTCAACTCAGATTTATGGACTAATAAATAAGGTACTGTTGTTCTGGTTTTCAGAATCCATTGTTAGTGTGGGAATATTGGACCATTTGCTCTAAATAGAGTCGGTGAAAATCAAATTTGTGTGTCCATCCCTATCAACTCTTTATTGAATCCAGGCAGAGGCCTGAATAGCCATTTTCTGTTTGACTCCGTCAATTATTATCTCGACTAAAGGGTGTAATTTTTTTAATAGAAATCCAGACAGTTCAAAAATTCCGTTAAAAAGTTTTAATTAAAACATCTCAAGAATTTTGACATATTCTGGATTTGATCGATTTCACCGTCAGGTTTATCTTGTAGTATCTATAGTAGCTACCTTAATTTGAAAAGAAAATTTTGTCTATTTGGGGAAGAATCCAAAGATTTAATTTCTTATTGTTTTACCCTATTTTGTTCATATTTTTTTGCCTGCCAGGAAAGCAGCATTTTGCTCAATCATAACGAGCATTTTAATTAAATCTTGTTGTTATTATTTTAATTTTACTACTATCTCACCATTTTTCTCAATTATTTAATTGTATTTTTTTAAATTAAAATATTTTTTTTTTTTCAATTTGCAATAGCTGTTCATACCTGATGCTGTTGGAGGGAAGTGTCTGTACAACAATCGTTTTATATTACACTCTTTTTTTTGACAGAATTCAGGGATTTAATATTCCAAATATTGGTGAACCTGATACTGCCTTATTCTTTTTTGGGTACCTACTCGGCATAAAGACCACTGTTTGGAGTCTGGATCAGCTGGAGTGACGTCACCCCAGCAATCTATCCTCTTTCCTGGATACAGGAAATAACACGAAGAGCTCCAGTTCACGAAAGTAAAACCCCAACATCCATTGAAGAGCTCCGGATTGGAAAGGTACATGGTATCAGATTCACCGGAAAAACCAAGTAGTCAACCATCCAAGGATTTTTTTTTTCAGTTATACATGTAAACCCCATACTTTGTGAGTGGCTTGCTTACATCAAGTCCTACAACTTCTCCTCTACGACTTTTCTCGGAAATGAAACGTATGCGCGCAGGCGACTCGCAAACATTTTAGGGGTATCGGACTCCCCCAATTTGCCATTATTTTTGTCGGCCAAGTTGATTTCCGTGATTTAGACATAAAAATCAAACAGTATTCGTGAAATTAGATTTTCATGTATCAAGAAACATAACCACGTCAGATCGACATGTTTGCGAGTCGCCTGCGCGCATACGTGCCATTTCCGAGAAAAGTCGTAGAGGAAAAGTTGTAGGACTTGATGTAAGCAAGCCACTCACAAAGTATGGGGTTTACATGTATACCTGAAAAAAAAGGTCCTTGGATGGTTGACTAAAGCTGTCAACACTAAAATTTTACAGAAAGTAACATTTACTGTTACTCTATGTTAATATATAACATTGTAAACAAAATAAAATTATTGTTTGTTGGATTTTAAGTAGTTTCATTTGCACATAAAGGGACTACACGTTATCTTAATTTTTTTTAATTCCACGACCCTATACTTTATTTTTTCCAAGATAGATTTTGACATTGTCAACTTTGAAACATAAACAATGCCGCTAATGCCACTTATTGGCCGCTATTGTAAAACTGATGTCAACCTGCAGAAACACCTCATTTTGCGACCAATCAGGGTCAAGCGTTATTTTTATGTTTCAAAGTTTTCAATGTCAAAATCTATCTTGAAAAAAAATAAAGTATAGGTTATCTTGTCTTAAAGTAACAAATTTCAATTCATTTGTAACACAGTACTACCTGCACGCGAGCAAAATGAAGATAATTGTAAATAGATATTGTGACCCTTGTGTTGGATTTACATAAGCCTTGAGACCAATTAACACACTACACTTGAATTTTAATACATTTGATATCAGAATTTCAGCAAAACATCAAAATTATTCAAATTCTAACCACACATTAAAAGAAAAAAACAAATTGACATTGGCATTACTTTGAAATCATTTTGACAATAGTACATTAGGCGCTTTCTTTAATCACTCCAACATAATAGGGTATTTCAAAATCATGTTACGTTACAACTTCTCCCCCTGAACTCCACGAAACGTCCCGTGAATCGAAGTGAATTTATTGACAACAAAGGCATTTGGGTTTTCGTGCACGTCTTTTTCGAGGAGCCGCATTGTCATGCTGCAGGATTTCGTCAGGAATCTGTTTAGGTGTTTGTTCTAAATCTTCACATCAACTTCTGGCTGTCTTCATCAACTTCGGTACACGTCTTACTACCGGCAGGCCTACCACGTTTTCTTATTGAACGCACTGGCGATAAATCGTCTTTCTGGTTGGTCCTGAGAGACGTCAAATCTGAAGAATGGTATTTCCCAAGAATATTGCGGTGGGGCGATTTCGTAGGTAGTGGGAGTCACCATCCTTACAATGACATA